TGGCGGGGGGAGGCTGGGGCGGCGGTGGTCAGAGGCGATCCGGGGCGGGTGCAGGGTATTTTCCTGGGTGTAGGGTGTGCGCGTCTGGGAGCCCCTGGTGTGTGTATCCGCGCGTCCACGTGGAGGGATGTGCGCGTGTGACAGATGCGTGTGCACGGCCTTGCGTGTAGCTCTGTCCGGGTGGCCCAACGTAGGGCGCCCAGGTGTTCAAGTGTGTGTGTTTGGGGGTGGGGAGGGGCGGGAGGGAGACACAGATACGTTTCCAGATGTCTGAGCACCTGTGTGTGTGTACACATTTGTAGACCCGTGTGTACACCTGTCTCTAGGGGGGACGTGCCCTTGCTTGCATACCTGCGGGTCTGTGGGTACCTGTGTCCACCTGTGTCCAAGCCTGGTGTGTTTCTCTGTGTGCTTGTGTGTACATGGATCAGTATGTGTGTGAGGACATGTAGGGCTGGGTATTTACCGGGTTGCACACTGGAGGAGCAGAGACTTACCCTAGAACCCGCCCCACGGGCCCAGCCACCTGTGGTGGGGTCGAAGGGGGAGGTAGGGGTGGGAAAATCCTCACCCAAGCAGCAATGAGGGACTGGGGGTGGGGTAGAGGGATTAGAGAGGTCCAGCTGGCCAGCCGGGCGAGCTCAGCAGGGCTGCACTGTCCCACTGTAGGCTCAGAGTTTCTTGGCAATGACCTTGAATCATTCCGTATTTCCCTGCCCTGCTCTTCCAGAAAAGAGGAAGAACCAGGCGCGATGAGGTGGCACTGGGCTCCCCAGGCGCCGTGTGGGCTGCGGGGGCCTGAACCAGGCGTGTCCCTCCTCCCCAGCCTGTGGCCACTTGCTCTGTGGCCATGCTGGTCCTCAGTTTCCTTTGGGAACAATGGTAGGGCTAGGCTCCCGATTTCTTCACTGATGTTTAATGGCTTTGACTCAGCTAAGGAACGACCCTCGGTAAAGACCACCTTCCCAGAGGGGCCTGGAGAACCAGTATTTGTAACTCCCCCACCCCCATGCCTCTGGCTGTTGCCTCCACCCGGCCTGGCTGGCAGTGGTAGCGATGGCCCCCGAGCCCCAGCCTGGCTTGCATCTGCCCTCCAGCTGGTCTCTGCCCCCTCTCCAGGTGAACCCTGGCTTTCTCCAGGCCTGGCACTCCGGCCCATCTCAGTCAGGATGCCCACAGTGAGTACCCCCAACCTGGATGCCTGTATCCCTGGCCCTTGCTCAGCTCAGTCCACGTCCACAGGCCCTCAACTCCATGGGGAGGGAGGGTGTACTCTGACCCACGCCCCCTTTAGCTGATGTCTTCTGGCTTTGCTGTCATTTGGTGTTGCATTTCCTTCACCTTTTCTTCCTGACCTGTCCTGGGTGCCCTCTGTCTGTGACTAATATATCTCTGCTGGCTGCTCCCTTGTCTTATCTCCTCTTCTCCCTCTCTCTCCTGTCTCAATCCAATCTTCCTCTCCCTGGGACATCTCCTTCATGTCACCTTGGCCCTCTTCCCTATGCCTCCCACCCAGAGGCGCTGGGCCCCAGGCACCCAATGCATCACCAAGTGTGAGCACACGCGCCCGAAGCCTGGAGAGCTGGCCTTCCACAAGGGCGACATGGTCACCATCCTGGAGGCCTGTGAGGTGAGCTGTGGCCAGAGGGCCTGGAGATGGGACTCAGTCAGGAACCCCCCTATACTCCTCCCCCCGATGCCGACCCCTGTCTCCCTCCCTGGCAGAGCAAGAGCTGGTACCGAGCCAAGCACCATGCCAGCGGGCAGGAGGGGCTGCTGGCGGCGGGTGCGCTGCGGGAGCGTGAGGCCCTCTCAGCGGATCCCAAGCTCAGCCTCATGCCGTGAGTGGTGGGGTTGGCCCGGGGATGAGGGATCCGGAGGGCCCGGGCCCGCCCGGCCCAACCCGTCCTCCTGCCACTGCAGGTGGTTCCACGGGAAGATCTCGGGCCAGGAGGCGGTGCAGCTGCTGCAGCCGCCCGAGGATGGGCTGTTCTTGGTGCGGGAGTCGGTGCGGCATCCCGGGGACTACGTGCTATGTGTGAGCTTCCACCGCGAAGTCATCCACTACCGCGTTCTGCACCGTGATGGCCACCTGACCATCGACGAGACCATCTGCTTTTGCAACCTCATGGATATGGTAGAGGTGCAGCTCGGACAGGAGTTGCGTGTTCCCCAGGCCCTGCCCCATCCCAGCAGCTGGATGGACATGGGGACCCCCAGAGCCACATGCTCCTCAGTGCAAGAAGGAGCTGGTCCTCATGGACCACCAACCATATAGGTGGTCTGAGCTCTCTGGGTTCCACTTCCAGGGACTGGATGGCTCCTCTGGGAACCTCCACATTGACACCAATCTAGAAACACCCCTGCCATCCTCCCCTTCCCCCCTAGCTTGCATCTTTCCTATTCCCATGGAAACCAGCCCAACACATCATGTGGGAACCAAACCCCTCTCCTCATCGGCTCATGCCCACCCTATCCAGAGCCCACCCCCAGGAAGGGAACAGGATGAGGGATGCCCCTTGGCACATGCTGGTCCCTGGGGTTGGACTCACAACCACCTCTGCCCCACCCCACCCTGCAGCATTACAGCAAGGACAAGGGGGCCATCTGCACGAAACTCGTGAAACCCAAGAGGAAGCAGGGGGCTAAATCGGCGGAGGAAGAGCTGGCCAAGGGTAGGGGCCTGCGCCCTCTCTGCCCATGTTCGCCCTGCCCATGTTGTGAGTGGGTTTCCACATCTGCTGCTTCTCCCACGTCCCCATCATCTGCCCTGTCACTTGAGCCAGAAACCTGGCCCAAACCTCAACCCACCTACCCTCCCACATTCCCTTCATGCCCCCTCCTGGCCTCTCAGGCCCTCCCATCAGACCACCTCCTTCCAGGGGGGCAGTCCCCCTTCCTCCTGACCCCTGCCCCTCTGGTCCCAAAGGCAACTTTCTACCTGCAAGCCCACCCACATCGCTCCCCTGCTTAAAGGAGGGAGGCCCTGCAGCTCCACCGCCTTCCAGAACCTCCCCTTGTGGCTGAGCCTTCTTTCCTACTTCATCTACAGGGCTCCTCCTCCATTCACAAGACCTCTTGGTTGTGACTCGTTTCCTCTCATGCCTCCGTGCTGTTGTGCATTCTGTTCCCTTCAGCTGAAATGCTTTTCCAGCTTCTGTGTAGGGAAATCATCAATACCCAAGTCCCAAAGCAAAGGCCCCAACTATAGCCACCCCTAGTCTTTTGAACCTCATGATCATGACTGTGTCCTTGGAAGCATGTATTCCTCCTGGGGAAATCTTGGGGACGGCACGCGGGTGGAGGGTGGTGTCGCCACGCCCGATCGTGCCTAAGGGCTCCTGATTTGGGTGGGGAGGAGGCCTACATTGGAGGAGAAGAACACTGGCCTGCCTGGGACAAGAGGTCAGGGAGGCCAGAGCACAGATTATGACTTAGAGCACAGGAATCTTTCTAAGATTCCAGAAGCTTTACTGTTCTCCGTGTCTATTGCATTTTCGCTCTGTGTGTGTGTCCCTGGGAGGCCAGAGGTTAAGAACCGTAAAGGGACCAGCCCTTGTGGTATTTAAAGGGACACAGTCTCCAGGTAGGAGAGACGGGCAGCCCTGAAGGGTAGGCTCTGTTGCCTTTGACCACAGAACTGGTATCAGGAGTGGGGTGTGTCAGCCATGCCCTTTGGACCATTACTGGGAATAGCAGCCACCCAAATGTGTGCCCACAGCTGGGTGCTGTGGGGGACACCATCTGGTCTCCCCAGGTGGCGCCCCCGAGGGGAGGGGCTGGGGAAGCCCGTTACCTCTCTGTTACCTCTCTGACCGGGCCTTTGCCGAACCTATGGCTGGTTACTGGACCTGCAGTATTTGACCTTGGGAGCACAAATCGGAGAGGGGGAGTTTGGAGGTGAGTAGGGCGTGGCCTGGCGAGCTGAAGGAAGGTGGGGGTTCACGGTTTGGAGTCACAGACATGAATTCACATCCATATGTAATACCTACTTGCTGGGCAGCTGAAGACAAACCACTCTTCTCGGAGTCTCTGTTTCCTCCTCTGTGAAAGGGGGCTGACAACAGCTGTTGTGAAGTAAAGACTCAGGCAGACACCCAGCGAGTGCGAGTCCCTCACACCTCCAGCCTCGTGCACATGCTGGTCCTGTGCTTGGAATGCCATTCCCTGAAATGATTATTCTGGAAGGTTCTAGGGCAGTGATGGCGAACCTATGACACGCGTGTCAGAGGTGACACGCAAACTCATTTTTTTGGTTGATTTTTCTTTGTTAAATGGCATTTAAATATATAAAATAAATATCAAAAATATAAGTGTTTTACTATGGTTGCAAATATCAAAAAATTTCTGTATGTGACACGGCACCAGAGTTAAGTTATGGTTTTTCAAAATGCTGACGCGCCAAGCTCAAAAGGTTCGCCATCACTGGTCTAGGGCTTAGGTCAGGGACCTATGGACTTTCTCTGTAAAGGGCCGAAGTGCAAATATTTTTGGCTTTACAGGCCAGTCTGTATTTGTAGCAGGAAAGCCACCCCAGATGATAGGTAAACCAACAGGAGTGGCTGTGTGCCAATAAAACTTTATTTGTAGACACTGAATTTTTCCCCCTATAATTTTCATGTGTCATGGAATAACATTTTTTTGAACTATTTGAGAATATACAAACAAACAAACAAGAATATAAAAAGCATTCTGAGCTCATGGGCCTTGCAAAAACACACGATGGGACTGGATTTGGCCCTCAGGACAGAGTTTGCAGACCCCTAGATCCTCTTTGATCAGGGGTTTAGGGGTTCGGAGCTGGTACGGCCGAGGGGGTTTCCAGGCCTGGGGCCTGAGCTGTGTTGGTGTACATGGGGGTCGATGTGAGTGGGTGTGTCCCTTTGTCTGTCTCCATCCCACCCCCCAGCCGTCCTGCAGGGCGAGTACCTGGGCCAGAAGGTGGCCGTGAAGAACATCAAGTGCGATGTGACAGCCCAGGCCTTCCTGGATGAGACAGCAGTCATGACGTGAGTCCCCGGTGGGGGTTAGGCACCCTGGGGGTGGGGGTTCCAGCCGCGCCTTCACCCCCTCTTCTGTCTCCCCACAGGAAGCTGCAGCATAAGAACCTGGTGCGTCTGCTGGGCGTGATCCTGCACCAGGGACTCTACATCGTCATGGAGCACGTGAGCAAGGTACGCTGGGGCCGAGGTGCAGGTGGGGGTGCAGGCGGGACTTGGAGAGGCAGCCAAGGAGCCTCGAACCCGAGCCCCGTGTCTCCCTCCCCCTCCCCCCCAGGGCAACCTGGTGAACTTTCTACGAACTCGGGGCCGGGCCCTTGTGAACACCCCCCAGCTCCTGCAGTTTTCCCTGTGAGTGGGGCCCCGGTGGGTGGGAAAGGGTTTTCCAAGGCCAAGGAGAAACGCAGGAAGGAGCCTGGCCTTGGGGTGGTTGACCTGCCCACTGGAGCCCCTGTGCCCTCCCCACCCCCAGGCACGTGGCTGAGGGCATGGAGTACCTGGAGAGCAAGAAGCTGGTGCATCGAGACCTTGCTGCCCGAAACATCCTCATCTCTGAGGACCTGGTGGCCAAGGTCAGCGACTTTGGCCTGGTCAAGGCTGAGAGGAAGGGGCTGGACTCCAGCCGACTGCCCGTCAAGTGGACAGCGCCTGAGGCACTCAAACATGGGGTGAGCGCCCCTCTGTCCCCAGGGACCTTGGAGCCCCAGCTCCACAGTGTGACCCTGGGCACGTGTCTTGGCCTCTCTGAACCTCCAAGGGAAATGACTCTGCCTCCCCAGTGAGTACGTGGTCCATCGTTGTTCTTTTTAGTTTCCATCTGGTCTCTCCTGTGTGTGACCCTGTCTGGGCATGTTTCCCCATTTTTGGGCTCAGTGCTGAGGGCACACAGAACCAGCACCCTCCCTGCACCACATCTGAGCTGCACTTGGTCAAAGGGGCAAGGACTCAGGGAATGGAGTCTGTTAGGAAGAGACCAGAGAGTTCAGGTCAACCCAGGGGGACTTCCTGGAAGAATCGGGGACTGGAGCGGAAACCTTGAAGGGTCCCTCCTCACCCTGGTCTTGGACCCCACAGAAATTCTCCAGCAAGTCCGATGTCTGGAGTTTCGGGGTGCTGCTATGGGAGGTCTTCTCATATGGCCGGGCTCCATACCCCAAGATGGTGAGCATGGCCTGGGTGGGGGAGGCACTGGGTTCCATGTGGGTCTGGGGCCACAGCCCTAAACCCCAGCCCACACTGCTGTGCCCTCTGCCCACAGTCGCTGAAGGAGGTGACAGAGGCTGTGGAGAAGGGGTACCGCATGGAGCCCCCTGAGGGCTGCCCAGGCCCTGTCCACACCCTCATGAACAGCTGCTGGGAGGCGGAGCCTACCCGCCGGCCAACCTTCCGAAAACTGGCCGAGAAGCTAGCCCGGGAGCTGCGCAGCGCGGCCGCCACTGGCCATGTTGAAGGACAGGACGCTGATGGCTCCACCTTGCCCCGAAGCCAAGAGCCTTGACCCTGCCTGGTGGGGCCATGGGCCTCAGAGGACAGAGAGCGGCGGGGGCTCAGGGTGGGGACACCGGCCGGGCCTCAGGAGGCTTGGGCCAGCAAGCTGCCCACCTGGCTCACAGCACAGAAGCAGGCCCTTGTGGGGGGCTTGGGGCAGCCCCTGGATACCACAGACCCCAGGAGAAGGATTGGTGCCTCGATAAAGACTGGTTCCAAGAACTGTGGGCCTCTGAGTCTCTCTCTGTGACCCCCAACATCTTCTCGGCCCAGGGGGTCCACACTGCCCCCCATCACTCAGCTCAGGACAGTCCACCTGCCAGTCGTCTGCCCACTGAGGGGTCTGCCCAGCTATGACCCACTGGCAGCCACTGTGGGGACACAGACCCCTGGGATGGAGCCAGGAGACTCTCCAGGCCAGAGGTCACAGCCTCCCCGGGGACCCACTTGCCATCACCCCCCGGTCCCCACTATGGTCCATCTGTGGGTGCCGTATTCAGCCCTCAGGGTCTCGGGCTCCAAGGATCATGGGAGACTTGCCCCTCGGAGCAGGTGTATAGGAGCCACTGCAGCTGTGTCCCCCCTGGGGATGCTCCGGTGTGACCACCCACTTCCTCCAGCTGTCACAACCCAACAGTCTGACCCAGTGACCTGGAGACTCAAGAAAACCCAGCCGAGCAGCCTGTCCAGAGGCCCTGCCCCTCCTGTCCTCTCTGGTGACGGGGGCTGGGCTCTGGGCTTGCACCCCAGGTTCATATCTTGATGTGCCCCTTAGCTGTGTGGCCCCAGCAAGCCAACTGAGGGGGGCGGGTTGGTCCCCTACCTGGGCCCCACCTATGATCAGGCATCTTGGGGGGGGTGGGGGGCAGGTGTTGTAAGGACCCAGAGTGGGGAGAAAGTGAGGGCTGAGTGCACACAGTTGGTGCTCAGTTATTGCTGTGACTGTCACCTACCCCATCTCAGCTGACATTCCCATCCAGACAGCCTCTAGGACGCCTGGCAGGGCCTTGGGACAGGCTGGACGCTGTCCCACCCCAGGACCCCCCAAGCTGGAGAGGAAACACTAGGCCCAGTATGCCCTCTCACCTATGCTGACCACCCCACCTGAGCCAGGAAAGTGCCCAAAGTTACACTGATCTCCTGAGGTGCCCCCTGAAGCCCAGCCCACCTTCTGGCCTCAGTTTCCCCACCAGCACCTGAAAGGGTTCAGTGATTCTTCCTGAGGGAGAAATAAAGGGTGGGAGGCTGGAGAGGCAGAGAGTGGCCTGCGGGTGACACACACACACACACACACACACACCCTCTCCCCCTAATCCAGCTGGAGGGGCTGCTAGTCCCTGGCCCTGCCCCACCCCGCCCTAATCCCGCCCTCAAGCTGACACAGCATCTGCTCCTTCAGCCACATCCTGCTAAGTCAAGAAAGCACCCTGCACCTGACCGGGATCCCTTCTGCAGCCTCTTAACCAACGGGGCCAAGTAGCTAATTGGGGCCTGAGAACCGAGCAGCTTGTTAACGTTTTAAAGTGATGAAGCCATTAGGGCAGTGGTTCTCAACCTGGGCTGCACATTAGAATCACCTGGGAATCTTTTTAAAATCCTGATTTCTGGGCCTCATCCTCTGGAAATTCTGTTTCTTTGTTATGGGGTAGGGCCACAACATTAGTAACAAAGAAACAGAATTTCCAGAGGATGAGGCCCAGAAATCAGGATTTTGGAAATCAGATTTTAAAAAGATTCCCAGGTGATTCTAATGTGCAGCCAAGGTTGAGAACCACGGCATTAGGGGATTACCTGCTGGCCCCACAGGCCGGCTCCCCGGCCATCGAGCCCAGAGCCTGACTCCTAGTTGGCCGGCTGAGTCCTGGAAGGGCCCGGGAACAGT